CACAGATGGACAAGACTTTTAAGATTTAATTCTGTCCTGAAAAAAAATAGGTTCTTTTGGCACCTTCGGTTTTGTGATAACACTTCTTAATGAACTGAGCTTTTCCTTGAATTTCCCACTACAAATTATGTAACTATCCTATTAAAAATAAATATTTTTAATTGTATAGCAGATTATTGAGCCTTAATTTGTTTTGGGCCCCTTTTATGGTTACATATTTCAGTATTGAGACTCTGGCAGGGATTTTATAGGTATTTACATTCTATATATATATATATATATATATATATATATATATATATATATATATATATATATATGTGTGTGGGTGTATTTAATCATGGTAGGTATAAATTGCTCTTGTTAGTAAAAAAAAATTGTACACAGTTTTTTTATTACCTAACATTATTATTACCTCACTATTACCTAAATAAACATGTTTTTTTTTTAAACCCCATTTGAGTGGTTAAAAAATGAACGATGTTGAAATCATCTGGCTCTCTGTGGACTTTTGTCTGAAAATTAAAGCCTATTTCCAAGTCATACATTTCCAAGTGTTTTCAAAGAGAAACAAACTCTAGTGTTGATTCATATTTTTTTGCAAGGTTTTATTTAAATGTTAAAAAATTTATATTTAAAAGTGTGTCTTCAGTCTTGTTTTTTTTAACAGGAGAGTGACTTAGTTTTACTATATATACGTATATATATATACTAATTAATATAGAAAAATTGATTATTAAGATAGAGATTTTTATTTTTCAAAATACAGTTGACTCTTGAACAACATGGGATTAGGGACACCAACCTTCTGCACCATCCAAAATCCATGTATAACTTTTGATACCACAAAAACTTTGCTGTAATAGCCTACTGTTGACTGGAAACTTTACTGATAACATAAACAGTCAATTAACACATATTTTGTATGTTACATGTATTATATACTGTACTCTTACAGTGAAGTAAGCTAGAAAAAAGAAGACGTTAAGAAAATCATAAGGAATCTATATAATCAATGAAGTGATCCCCCCAATAAGTCCAGTATACATTTGGCACCCTACATCTAAACAACATTATTGTTTATATTCCTCATACTGTATTTCACATCCCCCTGACAAAGCTGATGTAGAATAATATTGAATGTCAACTATTATTAAATACATATAGTCACAGGATGTAAAGACAGCATAGAGAATAGAGTCAATGGTATTGTCAGAGCTATGTAGAGTTGGACTTATCAGTTTGTGAGGTGTGTAAATATCTAATCATTATGTTGTTTTGTACACTTGGAACTAATATAAAGAAGTTTTTAAAAATCATAAGGAAGAGAAAATATATTTATTGTATTTATTGAAAAAAATTCTATGTACAAGTGGACCCACGCAGTCCAAACCCATGTTTTTCAAGGGTCAACTGTATTCATAATCTAACCCCCAGATTCTAATTTTATTCCTAGTTATTGACATGGCTGTGTGCCTGTAATATGAGATAATCAACATCTTTTATTTCCTCCTTGTATACAGTAAAAGGCCCTGTTTAGTCTGTGATGGTATTAAATACACAGACTAATGTTTTATGCCTAGGTACATGGCTTCTACTGCATTTGTAACTTAGATTCTATGCTTTTTCTTTTAAAATGTCTTATACAAATATTATTTTAATTCTCTTGACTGCAAAGTGATATAAGTCTAAATAAAAGGTCTAAGCTATTCAGAAGATGTAGCTCCAGTTGTTCCAGATAGTTCATTTATATTTTCCTTTATTTGGTAATGATACCCATAAAATAACTTTAAAATCTGTCATGCATCATTAAAGTCATATATGCTTTATTGTAGGTGTTTAACTAAATTTAACTAGCCTATATACTGAAGAACTTGGTACTTCTTGTGGACATATAATTTATATATGTATTTATAAAAAATATATATATATTTAATGTTGCCTTAAGGTTGACTTTAACTTGGGCACTTTGAATAAGATGACATTAAGAAACTTGTTGCAGGATATTATGATGTTGGTAATTATGTTTTTATTTTAATTGAGAAGCAGACTGTCTTGTCCGTTGATGTAGTAAGACATTAGAAACTCAATTATTAAGAACTGTATGGAACTGTTTATTATTGGAGTCCCAGTGCTGGCATTACAATATAGTTTAACAGTAATCTAAATACATTACCTTTACTCAAAATGTTTTGTTGCTGAGTAACTATGAAAACATTAAATTGTTGAGCTCTGGTGAAGATAGTGAGTAGGTAAATGCTGTATTCACCTTCCCTCAAGACCACATCAAAATTACAACTAAACTACAGAACAACCATCATTGAGAATCACCTGAAGCCTAGCTGAACAGAAGTCCTATAACTAAGAACATACAGCAGAAGCCACACCCAGACTGTTGAAAGGGAAAAAAGACATTATGTTATTGGAATTACACCTGCATTGTCTCATCAGATTGAACTTTGCTTGTTTACATCATAGTACAAATGGCTCATGTCTCAAAAAGCTAGAAAAAGAGGGGGCCAGCTGAGTGGTGCGTTAAGAGCTGGCTTAGGAGTGCCAGCTCTGAGCAGCAGGGGCCCAGTTCGGATCCCAAATGGGCCAGTGATGCAGTGGCACCTTCTACAGCTAAGATGGTGAACAACAGTTCAACCTGGAGCTGGGCTGCCGTGAGTCGCCAGCGATGGCATAGGCTGCAGTGGGGCTGGCTGGCAGCTGGCGTGAGCTTTTGTGAGCTGCCGTGAGCAGCCGTCCAATGGTTGGTGAGCAACTGCCTCACCCGGGAAGAGCACAATGATAATACCAACATGGGCCAGTGAAGCAACGTCCTCCACAACTAGACTGAAGAACCAAAGGACAGCAACGTGTCTGTTCCCCTTCCCCGATTCCCCAACACTGTTCCCCTCCCCCAATTCCCCAATAAAATCTTTAAAAAAAAAAAAGCTATAAAAAGGAACCCTGTTACATATATACATATATATATGTATATATGATATGTCGTATATATATAATCATTTTATGGAAATTAAGTCAATGAATATAGCTTCTATTTCTTTAAATTTAATCTTAACTTTTTTTCAAATTCAGCTGGTCTTACAATGTTCTGTTCTTAGAGTCCCATCAAGAGGGCAAGTATTTGACAAAAAAAAAAAAAAAAATGAGCACGGGCTCCGGCCCGCCCTTTCGTTTTTCTCCTTACTTCAGCCATGCTGAATTCTTTAATTCAGTTGTGTTAAGCATGCTTCTGGGTCTTCATGCAAAGCCACTCTGGCTGCCTGATAAGCTTTTCTCCCAGATATTTGAATGCCTTTCTTCTTCATGACTTTAGATCACTGGCGAGATGTCACCCCCTTCGAGAGGACTTCCTTTGACCATCATGCCACCGCCATCTCTGTATGCTTATCCGGCTCCCTGGTCCTTCATCGCACTTATCACTACCTGACATTAGCTGATGTGTCATTTGTCTGTCTGCAACATTAGAATGTAATTCCCACAGGTCAAAGACTTTTTATTTACTGCTATATCTAGCCCCAACCTCCAAAGCACTGGCACATAGTAGGTGCTCAGCCAATATGGGTTGAATGGCTTTCCCATCATGAAGATTTAACAAAGAATGTTCCTATGTACAGTTGTCTCCTCTTCTCACTGTGATTGTTATACAGATAGTTACTGTTCCTTTTCAGGTTGCTCTATCACCCGGAATTCCTTGGGTGTGTATTTGCCCATTTGTTGCATCTTCTAAGTCACCCCCCCTCTCTCAAGACAGATGCTGGGATGTGGAGCTTTAGACGCCCCTACCATGATTAAATACTTTTACTCTATCTGCAACAGATTTCACCTTGTTTTTTTTAGCTCAGGATTGTCACCCAATTTGGTGGGAGTTCAAGTTCAGATTCCACACCAGCACACGGCACAGGAGTAGAGGTGTGATTTTCTATAGGTGTTTCCACACTCAGCCCGGGTGAGGCTCTGCGACCAGGCAAAGTCCGTAGGTCTGTGGGCTGAGACTTGCAGGCATTCCCTTTCCAACTTCTCACCTTATCGAAGAGCCCAGGCCTTGTACGTTAAGCACACAGGAACTGGTCTCCTCTCTCAGTCCAGGTACCTCACTCAGCCCCTGACTGATACACTCCGACCTCTTGGCATCAGTTCCCACTCTGCTGACTTGTAATCTTCACTTCCAACACCTCAAAGGTGTTTTTTTTTCCTTCGTTTCACCTTTGCTACGTATTAAAAAAAGAAAAAAAAATTCTGTTATATATTATTTAGTATTTAATTTGTCTTTGGGTGAGGATAGCTTCCCACATCTGCTCAGTCAGCCATATTGGCTGATGACACATGAGCAAATTATTTATTTTAGCATTTTTAAAGCAATACTACCGAAAGCGTTGATGCTCTTATATATTCAAAAGTATTCACACCTGGGCCCTCTATAGATAAGAAGTAATCAAAATTTACATTCTTTATATTCTAGGTGTCTAGATATTCTAATATAAAGGAAACATTAGACATTATTTATTAATAAATTCTGTTAAACAGTGACCTCATTATCCATTTCATTATTTTTGAAAGTTTCTTCTTAGCATTGCATGTTTTATTTTCCTTTTAGTCTTTTAGAAGAATTTTGTCAAATGGAAGGTAATTATAAGGGTGACTTTTCAGTTAAGTATGCATATCTGGAAGGCATTGTTTTTGCCAAGTTTTGCTTCCTTTAATTCCACTTATTAGCCTGTATTGATAGAGCTCAATGCATACTCCCAGGACGTGTCTACCAGCTGCTATGGGCTGACTTTATTATTATCAAAATAATTATCTTATTCTAAGGCATACTTTTAGTTATCTTTCTTTCAAATTGAAATGCACAGGCTTTATGCAGTTTGTTGTGTTTGGACAAATCCAGATATAAAACATTTCTCTCACTTCAGAGAGTGCGTTTCTCCTATTTTATGCCTTTTATTTAAAATTTTTGTTGTTTTGTTTTTTCTTTTTTTTTCCCCTACCAGATATTAAGACATCTCAGCTGAATTTTGAAAAGTCTTTCAAGAAGCCTAGTGTTTTGAGTTCGTATGATTTTCTGGATTCTACAGACAGAAACTACTTTGCGAAATTATGGGCCAAACTTTCAGCCAAGAAAACACCAGTGGTAAGGAGGAATAGACAGGGTGAAGCCACAGCTGAGGGTGATACGGTGTCAGACGAAAAGGTGGTTTGATATTTTCAGACTAATAAGTTTCACCAAAACTGTGCTCTGACTGGTGTCATCTAAAGACAAGTTTTTTCACCTCTTTCAACACCTCTGAGAATCAAAATGGGTTCTAAAAACAGAACATTCAGTTTAGATTTTTTTGAGTACCTTTCCCCCAGGCTCCTTGTCAAAACTCTGAAACTCAACTCTTTTGTTTATCAAGACTAGAAAAGCACAATAGAATTCATGCTATAAAATATGTATTTCCAGGGAAAACTTGCTTTGTTGTTGGGATATAAAAAAAAAAAAAAAGTGTTCTTGTGCTGAGTCATCCAAGTGAGCCCATTCAAAGAATCCATGTTTTATAACATAACAGCATCTACACCAGTCATATATGAGGTGGGACAATTACGTTTGCACACTTTCCACCGTGCACTTATAGCCACCGTAGCGTAGTCCCAACTCAGTTGTCTAAGAACTCAGACATCACTGTGTGCAGGAGTGTTGAGTGCAGTCTTGGCACCGCATTCAAGTCAAGTCGAGCTCATTTTCCATTTGTAAAAGTTTTTACGAGATGATCTGGGACCATGAAGAGATCTAAACCATTGCAATTGTCACAGAAGCACTAGAACTTTCTCCTTTGGATGTGTTTCCTTAAGGCCAGCCTGTTCTAAGCAAGGAGTCACATCATCTTCTAACGTTTGAACCATAGGCAGTGGTCAGGATCAGACTGGGGACTTCAGATGCAAAGTCGCGGGCAGTGGTATATATGGGCATATACATTCTACTCTGACTTAGTCATGAGAGTAGGGTGTTCAAGGTCTAAGAAACAGACACCCATTCAAGTCAGCTTAAGTAAGAGGTAGTTCCATTATGGAAAGTACATCGAGTAGAATACCAGTGTATCATGTGCAGGAATGAGGTACAGACCACACAGAAACAGGACCCAAAATTAGAAAGTTAGCTTTTCCTAACAGTTTTCCTCTAGGCAAGGGCACTCAGGTACCCAGGAGTGGGAACAGAGGAACAGAAATGAAAAAAGAAAAAGCCACACTATATGTTCTTAACAATAATTCATCTCTAACATTTCAATGTAAAATTAATGAACAGTATGGAGAAACTGCAGAGGGGAGAATGTGCTCAAAAGGCAATGTGAGCGTAGAAGGGGCCACCTGGGGGGCGGGGAGGAGCAGGTATTACAGACCACCTGTTGTCAAAAAGAGTCTCAAGAACTTTTACACACTGAGGGTCACTCCTTTCCTGCAGTCAGCTTCCTGAGAAACTCATAATCCAGGGCATCCCAGAGCCTAGGACATCCCAGAGTCATCCCAGGACATACCGCACCTGTTATGTCCCGTGTTAGAGGGTTGCCTGTGACCGACCTATGAAGGCAGTCATCCCCAGACCCATTGTAGCCTTGTAGTCCTGGTTCCTTTGCCTGTCAGTGCTGGTGGAGAGAGAGTAGAACAGAACAGCGTCACAGAAAAGCAAATCAGATCTCCTAAGAACCAACAGAATCACTCTTCAGAAATGACTGCAAGTGTAATATTAAATTGACGCTGTCGTGTATATGAGGTGCATTTGCCCAAATTATGTTTAATGCCTCATTTTCTTTTAAAGATTATGAATTCAATGCTATTTTGAAATTTTAAGTATTTATCAACTTTTAGGATATTTCATAGGTCATTAGCTTTTTGCATAGCTGTTATAATGCCACAAAAGGAGCATCCTGCCTTTGTAGGAGTTCTACAACAGAAACTTTATATTACGATGATAGGTTAGAGAACACAAATAGTGTTTAAGCAGTATTCAAAACCTAGAAAGGGCTTTCATGTGAATTATGTCATGCACCCCTCATTTTCACCCCGTAGGAGAAGATATTTTCTTCATTTTACTTTCCCAACGTAAGTTTCCATGTATTTTTGGAACCTTTTAGTGCATTGAAGAAAGTAATTGCTTTCTCTATCAAAAACCTGTATCTTAAATTGTCAAAAAAAAAATGGTGGAAGTTTTTGTGACTTTTTTTGGTATCTTCATTGTAGATTAAATGTGTTCATATTTACCTTTGGAAACTATCAAGAGAGCCATTTGACAGTGAGGGACATGGTAGGAATTCCCATCATTCAAGCTTTCTTGGTTTCATTTCTCTGAGGGGCCCTTCCCGCTTATGCTGAAGACTCCCTCTCCACTCAAACCTACCTCAGAACTCACCGTGTCCATGGGGTCTTGCCGTCCAGTCTGTCCATTTTAACATTCCACTCTTTCCATGTGCATAGTTTGCAACTATATGTATGTCAAGGTGTCGTTACAAAATAATGAGGTTAGATGTGTGTGCGTCTTATGGAAACCATGTCTATTACTTGGTAGTCACATATGCACGTCATAACTAGTTGGGTTAGTGTATATTTATGTGTGTGTTTAGGTCTGTGTGCATTTTCAGTCTAGCTTGGTTCTGTCTACATTTAACTATTGGCTCCGTGACCTGAGAGAAAAATGCACCTGAACCCTGAGTTCGTGTGAGTCTTGCCACCTACTGGGTGATCTTATAAAAGTCACTTATCCGCTATGAGATGTCATTTTCTCTTCTGTAAAGTGGAGCTAATATCTACCTTACAAAGTTATTGTATCAAATGCATATGGAACTTCTTTATCAAAGGATTGACCATAAAACAAATGTTAGCTGTTGTTATGGTGATAATGGCTGACAGGGAGGAGAGAAAGGGTTCAGGCCCTCAGCTGTTGTACACCTTAAACTTACACAATGTTATATGTCAAGTATATCTCAATTAAAAAAAGAAATAATTGGCGTACATTTAGGAAATAAATGCATTTGGCAGGGTTGTTAGATACAATGTCAATGTTCAAGAATAAGTTAGGGCCGGCCGAGTGGCACGCTGGTTAAGTATTGGCTTGGGACGCCAGCTCTGAGCAGCAGGGCCCCAGTTCAGATCCCACATGAGGGCCAGTGATGCTGTGCCCTCTACAGCCAAGATGGTGAACAACAGCTCGACCTGGAGCTGGGCTGCTGTGATTCACCGGCGACAGTGTAGGCTGCAGTGGGGCTGCAGTGGGCTGCTGTGAGCTACCATGAGCAGCTGTGAGCCGCCAATGGCGGGCGAGCAATTGCCTCACCCGGGAAGAGCGCAATGATAATACCAACATGGGCCAGTGAAGTGACGTTCTCCACAACTAGACTGGAGAACAACAGGACAGCAACTTGTCTGTTCCCCTTCCCCAATTCCCCAATAAAATTTTTTTTTAAAGTTAGATTTTATATAACCAGCAATATTATAGTGCCTTCCCTTCTTCCATTCCCTTCCCTCCCCCGACCCCCACCCCTCCCATCCTCTCAGTCATCTGTCTCTACCCATCCTGAATGTGCTGAACGCCTACCATGTATGTGAGACCTGTATTTGCTTCTCAGTACAGAGCAGGTATTTGTTTACAGTCCCTGTTCTAGACACTAGAACAAGGTGGACCTGGACCCTGCCCTTAGGGAGTATGTGGTCTGGTCGTGACACCCTCTGGTCTTCTCTCGCTGGTAGGGCGAGGCCAGTGTGTCTGCAGCCCTTCTACTACTGCCTTCTTCCTTTACGTGGAAAACAGGCTGATGGAGCATGGAGACCCTCAGTATTACTGACTCCTAATATACTGAGAGCTACTTTTTGTTTCTTGTATCTCAAGTCAGGGGGGATTTACTCTAGGACTTGGCTGCCTTGTCTTTGGCAGGAAGAAATATCCAAGAGTATTATTTTTTGCTCTTCCGGTCTGAAGAATACCTGAAACATCCCTTTTCTTGCTTGTTACCCCAATAGTTTGTCCATATAAAATGCTTTCTGTGACTATGACCATAATTTAATATGGGTTTAAGCAGTTCAATAAAAGAGTCACTTTACTCATCTCCTCATTCCTTGCTTGTACAATCCTTTGTTGCTTTATTTCTTCCCTTTTCATAGCTTAGAAAGTATTTACTTTTCTGAATGACTCCCAAAGCACATTAATTTGAACATCTCTAAAAGATTCTTGGAGAACTGTAAATATAATTTTAATCAGCTTTACTTCTTAAACGCAATTTTCTTTTTAGGTTTGAGTAAGAAAAAAATGTACAGCTCCTTTTTTTACTGCTGAAAAAGTATATAACAAACACTATCCAATGAGAAGTTTATATCTATACAGCACTCACATATACTCTTGGTTACAGAAATCTAAGTTCTTGTGTTTTACTTGTCAGGCGCTGCTTTGCTTCAGTTTCAGCCCAACCCCCTTTTGCATGGCTGGCTCCCTGGGAAGCGCACAGAAAGGTTACAATGGCTTAGTGAAGACTTTTTTTCTCTTGAACTATTGTGACGAGGTCTTTGCCTTCTAGAAGAAGCTTGGTTGTGTGAATTTCAATTGTATCTGTGTCTTCAACAAGCTTCTCTGACCTTCTTAGGGGACCAAGTTACTGAAGCAAGCCAAGTTACTGAAAGCCAATTCTTTAGGAAAAAATTGCTGAATGACCAATTCATCCCAAGCCAATTTAGCAAACGTATGGGTGTAGCAGATAAGGCCAGTACAATTTTATAAAGTACCCATGTGTAGGAAAGACAGTAAAAAAGCGGATCTGTGGTGACAAAATATTGGGCACCTACATCGACTGCCTACAATTTCCTTTCAATACTATGAGGCAGTCAGCGCAGGGAGCTTGTCCAAGATTTCACAGCTTAGAAGTGTCCATTTTGACTCCAAAAGAAAAGTACTTTCTCCTACTCAGGTGCATATTTCAGTGCATGGCATTCTGCACCGTATTTATTATCTGGAATAATACTATGAGGAGAGGCTTCTCTCTACCATCTGGTTACCAAATGGTATAGTTCCTAGAAGATCAGCAGTCTAAATGCTTTTTTTTCTTTCTTTCAAGATAATAACTTGGTTTCCTTTTATTCTCTGAAGGTGACCATTAATTCTAAAATATCATTTATGATCTTGATCTAAGCACATCCTATTGAAGGGTATCCACCCACTGCACTTTTTTATCCTTATTGAAACATCCTACCTTTGGCCAATGAGAGCTTCCTCAGGTTGCCCCATTTTCCCTTGTAAGGTACCTGTGTAGCCTTCCACAGCCATCTTGCTATCCGGCATGACAAGATAGGCTGTGCTCTTTTGTTCATTTCTGTTTCAGACCTAGAATCAGTCTTTCCTCCAGGAAGCCTGCTTTCTTTAAGTGGGAGATGGTAGCACAGAAGCTCACCGCTAGTGGGGTCATTCTTGTTTCTACACCTTTTCTGTGGATAGACGAAATATTTCATGAGTTCAAGTGAATATTTCCGTTTCAGACACAAGACCTCGGGAATTTTACCCAACTTCTCCATTACACATTTTTCCCTCCACACTGAGAATCCTGATTCTGAAAGACATAGGAGATGATAGGATTCCAACATCTCATTAAATTTCTCATTTTTTTTAATCCACATTACGCACAGAAGAATAACAATATTAATACTGCCAGCACCCAGTATAAAAACTGAAAACAGTTTTATAAAACTGAGGGCAAATGTCCTCCCCCATTATTTATGGTTGTTTTATAGCTACGCTATCAGAGCATATAGTCATTATAGACCCTTTTCCTTTTAACTCTTACTTTGTCTTAGTTTTCAAATCTGTAGACACTAAATACTTATCATTAGGCCTTAGGTCTGTGTCTCTCGAGCTAGTTGTTCTGTTATCTAAGCTTATTCTCTAGTAGATACAGAAAGGGCGATACAGCAAGTAGATACAAAAAGAGAACAGTATTTCCTGAATTCTCACTTGTTATTAATAGTCTGTTGTACTGTTATATCTATAGTTGAATTGTAGTTTTATTATCTATCCTGTTTCCTTGTTTTGGTATACTTTGTCAAGGATTTGTACTTTGGATCTTCTTTGGCTACCTTAAATATTTGTCATTTTCTCTTGAATCTTTTTAACCTCTTCTTTTTTGTTTGGAGCTTAAAAACTTTACTCCATTCACTTTCTGTGTATCTTAAAGCGTTATTTGTTTCGTTTATTCACTGTTGTATTCCTGCTAGTTTAGTTTTTGTTTCTAAAGTGATTTTCAGACCTTATATCTCTAAGTCTTTGCTGAGTTCCGTCACCTCATTTCTGAGTTTGTAAAATTGTAATTTAGTTGTGCCTTAATGTGTTGTCATTATCTTAATGTCTTCATTTATTTTTAAGTAGTAGACTATAGACTTTATCTGTTTTATAAGCAAGCTTTCATTATGTAGAGTTTCATCATATGTAGAGGTGTTCTGCTTTTGTTTGTGTTTCTTTTTCTTATACTAACATTGCATGCAGTTTGACCAGAAAATTTCTTTTTTATGTGAAATTATTTTTCTCAAGCTTAGAGAAGGCAGCATGCTTCTTTCAAACCATGGTAAAATGTAAAATAGCTTCCTTTTTGAGATTCCCTGACTCCCTTCCCTCCCCCACTCTAGACTAGATTTTCTCTTGCCTTTGTCTCCATTGACTCTGTCCTAATTAATTTTTATTGTACTCCCATCAGCTTTTCTTCAGTATGAGACCCTGCCTTAGAAAGGAGCCCCACTGGGTCCATGCCAAGAATCCAGCTCCTTCAGAACTTGCTGTGGACCCCTTATTCCTACCCACTACTGGATGGGAACAACCCCTCACCCATTTCCGCCGTGGTTCCCATATTGTCCTGCGTTGCTTTCAGTGAATGCTTTTGAATTGTGTGGGGCTCTCGTGCACTCTGGCCTTTTAGTCACCCTGTTCCTTCCTTCAGCTTTCTTTTTCTTAAAAACTGATATAATGCCAGTTTTGGGGCTGCTATCACCTGTGTTTTGGAGCGTGAAGGAATACCTTGTCCCCTAGTTTTCTTTTTTTATCATTTATATTTTATTTTATTTTTTTATTGGGGAACAGTGCGTTTTTCCAGGACCCATCAGCTCCAAGTCAAGCAGTTGTCCTCAATCTAGTTGTGAAGGGCACAGCTCAGTGGCCCATGTGGGGATCGAACCAGCCACCTTGGTGTTATGGCCAACTGCGCTCTAGCCAGCTGAGCTAGTTTTCTTATAAATGTTTAGCTATGTCTTTTATTTTACTATTTAGTTTCTATATCTATTGTTTGTGTGGGGATTCTAGAAGATCTAAAAACTATGCTTCCACTACCTCTGTCATCTTCCCAGTCATGATATTATTGAAATTGAGCATCGGTATAAGAAAAACAAAAAAATAAGGACAGTAGAAAATGAAATCACAATAGTAAATATATATACAAGTAATAGAGTGATTCAAGAAAAAAACACAAATTAACAGAATAGGACAGCAGATTTGGTCAATATATAGTCATTTTATAGTATTATGAAATAAGTTACATGTATATATGGGGCTATTTAAGTATATAGTTTTTAAATGGTGACATTTAAAGAGTTTGTACCTTTCTTCCTTTTTTGTCCCATTATAGATCCCCTCCCTCACACCCAACAGATACTTTTCCTCATCCTGCTTACCCAGAACCACAGAGCTAATGGTCAGGGACCAGTAAAATGGTCTCAGCAATCAAATATCTGCCTGAGAGCCTGTGTTCAGTGAGTCCACGTGTTAGCTCTCTTGTGTCATGGTTTCTAAGGAACAATTTCAAAAGCTTGACCTAGAGTTTCTGAAGCAGTTGACAGCAAATTCTAGTGCAGATATATAAAGAAAAGTAAACATCACTCACTGTTCATATTACCAAAACCCCCCAATTTATACTGTTATACATTAAAAATATTTATTGAGCTCCTGCTTTGTGCTAAGGTGTGCGTGCGTGTGCCGGGGACACAGGAGTGACCAAAGGGACTTCTGGTCTCCAGGCTGCGAATTTTTCCCGGATACGCTCATTGTGCTGATCCTGGCATCACCGCAGAGCAGAGCCACTCCTATAGATGAGTTTTCGCAATGCAAGAATGTTTTTAGAATCACATCAACTTAATCTTTAAAACTCCATTCTTAAAAAAGTTTCCCAAACGACATGCCAACACTTGAAATGATGCTAGCCTGGAGTTGCGGGCTCACCACCATAGCTATGGCGTGGATCCTTTCCTTGGCGTACTTGTTTGTTTGTTATTTCCTATGCGATTTTACATGACTATCAACTTATAGAGAAGCCTGGTAATGACATTCAAATCAAAACAGTCAACTTTAGTTCAGATTAAGTTACTGCAAGCAAAGGCTAGTGTATTACAAATACACTTGCTATTTAAATAAATGTTATTATAAATCCCTTTATAAATGAATAGTCTTTTATGTAAAATAAATAAGCACTTGCCAATTTATATTTTCTGTAAAGTAAGAATTTTAGATATTAAGTTGGCTTAAAATGAAGAAATCTAGAGCATCGGCAGTTGCTACACAGGTCCCACTCCATCAGCTAATGTGTGTAAACACGTGTTGTACTATTTATAAAACAGCACATGCTCTCTTTTTTCTGCATCTTTCTTTTTAAAGATTTTTATTAGGGAATTAGGGGGAGAGGAACAGCGTTGGGGAATCGGGGAAAGGGAACAGACAGGTAGACAAATAGCTGTTTTTGTTCAGTCTAGTTGTGGAGGACATCGCTTCACTGGCCCATGTTGGTATGATCATTGTGCTCTTCCCAGGTGAGGAAGATCAGTTGCCAGTCATTATTTGGCCACTCACAGCAGCTCCCAGCAGCTCACATTGGCTTCCGGCCACTCATGCTGGCTACCAGCCACTCATGTAGCTCACGGCAACTCACTGTAGCCCTGCTGCAGCCTATGCCGCCGCCGTCAACTCACAGCAGCCCAACTCCAGGTCAAGCTTTAGTTCATCATCTTAGCTGTAGAGGGTGCAGCGTCACTGGCCCTCAATGTGGGATCCGAACCGCAGCCGTGCTGCTCAGAGCTGGCACTCCCAAGCGAGCTCTTAACCAGCTGAGCCACTCGGCCAGCCCTCTCTATCTTCTTAAATCACTTTTTGCCACCACATTATAAACCTTTTGAATGCAGAGACCATGTCTTTTGTATCTTTGTATCTCCAACAAATGCTTGCTAAGGATATAGTGATGGTGACAGCGATATGGGTGAAATGCCAGAGAAAGACATCCCAGTCTGTCCTATTTCGTTATCATACTTAAACACTGGTGGATATATTCAATCAGTTGATTATGTGTGCTAAGATCTGGGAAGACTAAAAACACGATAATAATCTGGACCTTTGAGAGATAATCTCATTAGAAAGATTAAAAATATACACATGAAATGTTAATTTAGAAATTGCCACATTCTGGGGGCCAGCCAAGTGGCTCAGTTGGTTAAGAGTTCACGCAAGAGTGTGAGCTCTGAGCAACAGCGGTTCAAGTCCCTGCCCCAGCTGAGCTGCCAACAAGTGGCAGGATGGCTCAGCTAAAAAAAAAAAAAAAAGCCACATTATTAAGATGGCATATAAAATTTATATATTAAATTGCAGTCTTCATAAAAGGATTTCAAGTTTGTTTATAAAGTTTCCACTGAACAAATAAGCAATTGTTTTTTGGCCTAGATCAGTGGTTCTCAACCTTCCTAATGCCGCGAACCCTTAATACAGTTCCTCATGTTGTGGTGACCCCCAACCATAAAATTATTTTCGTTGCTACTCTATAACTGTAATTTTGCTACTGTGATGAATCGTAATGTAAATATCTTTTTGTTTTCCGATGGTCTTAGGCAACCCTTGTGAAAGGGTCGTTCGACCCCCAAAGGGGTTGTGACCCACAGGTTGAGAACCGCTGGCCTAGATAGTTTTCCTTTTTCTTTCCACATATTTGGCAATCTCTAGTAAGAAGAGAAGGATTATAGCTATTTTAATCATCTGACATCTTTTTAAGATCAGTATAATTTTCCGATGATATTTCTTGCCTAGGAAATAAATTCCTTGGAGAGACAGTATAAGACAGCCCGGCAAGCCCTAATGGGAAAGACCCCTCTTCATCACACACTCCTCTTTCAAAGGTAGCGATTTATCACATTTATTTATAGCTGAGCATCTTTCGATTGATTTTCTAGTATGCAAATATAGCAAATGAATCCTAAGTCATCAACATAAACAGGGACCTCTGTGCTAAAATGGACCTAGTGATTCAGAATAGAAGAGCCATTTAAAAGTCTTTTAAATTACAGTTCTTTTTTATTATCTATAATTTTAAGCTGTTGAAAATCTTTAACCTGTTGAAAATCTTTAACCTATATAAATAATGTTTTGTCTGTTTGTCTACCATATATGAAAAAAAGTGTGTTTGATTGTCTCCATATTGACAGGCTATCCATATTTGGATAGATTGATTCAAAAGACTGGCTGTGTGGTATATACAAAGTTCTACTGGAGGATCTGGAAGGTTCTGGCCAGGAGATCTGCAGTGTCCCTCAAAGGAGCTAAAGCTGGGGCCTTGTGACTTCTCACCAGCAATGCCTATTAAAACACTGTAGACCCAGAAACTAAGCAGTTTTAAACATGAGCTCCAACTGGGTCCTACTAGGACAGAGAGATGCTTTTAATTTGCATGCATTTATATGCAACTGGGCTGCTTAGCACATAGCAACTCTATTTAGCAAGTCTGGGGTGAATAGCAGTAGGATTTATTCCTTTGCTAAAAATGGTTAAGGATTCTTTAAAGTCACTCTGGGAAAACAGGCTAGTGTAGAAGAAAAAAATATTTTATACTTAAGTTCAGTTGGAAGTATAACATTAGAACTTTTAGAAATACTGTATTCTGGTATTATTTCAAAGCATTAGATTATTTACAAATGGAAAATATCTATCTCAATTTTTATAGCAGTTGATATATTGCTGGAACTCACATAACAAGTGGAGTTGAGTTTATAATAGAATACATACTAATCAGTAAGAAGAAATTTCCCTGTATTAATGGTTGAATGGATAAGGAATATTTACAACAGTACAGATTTGCTAAATCTACAAATTAGAATGTAATAATGCAAGTGCCTTAGACAAACTCTGAGCTGAATGTTTATGAGTGAGTACATTATTCCAAATAGATTTTATTAGCATTTGCATTTGTATGGGATGTAATGGTCAGTATTTAGGTATTACGCGTGTATGTGCTTGGTATTATTTCAAAGTTCTTTGGATTTTTTTGTTGTTGTTGTTATTTCTCATTTCAGGGGTGCGGTACCAGCGCCTGTCATCAATGGGGTACATTATTTCGCAGCTTTAGAACTAGAAAAAAGTCTTGAGCTTTGTGAAGATTCTTTTAAAGCTCCCTTTGGAAGATACTCTGAAAAGAGGTGAGTTGAGTTTTGTTGGATAGAATCGGTGATTTTCTGCTGGTTCGTCAAGACCATGGCCTCATCCTTAGGCCCTGGACAAACCCTAAAGCTGGGAAGCAGGGGCCCCACCTCCCACCACGGAATTTGAAGGGAGCACATGCTGGCCCTCTAGGAAGGACACAGGCGTAGAATCTAGGCTCATACCATTGGAAGCTTCTTTCTGGGACTCTGAATCTTGAGAGAGTGACAAAAAAGATACAGGGGCAGTTAGAGAGCATTCAAGTCACCAGTGGTGGAAGACTCAGAAATCCACTGTGGAGTAAAAGCGAGGATGTCTACCAGTCTCTCCTGTATCGCGATTCAGCTGTGTTCTAGCCACTTAGCTTATCTTGGTTCCTACTTTTGGTTCCTACCTTGGCTTCTCTACTTTTCCATGAAGTCTATAAACTACCCACTAGCTTTTTTTATTTTTTTATTTTTTATTTGTTTAAAGTTTACAGCAGAGGATAGTTTTATTAGAGCAGAAAGTAACAGCTCTCAAAACAAGAGGGGGTCCCAACTGGGGTGCCCCCAATAGCTTTTAGTAACTCCCTTTTTCATCCTCACATTAGCCAGAATTGGTGTCTGTAGTTTGCAATCAACACCTCTGATTAGTATGATGCTATATTTGAAAATCTGTACCTGCTGATGTCCAATACATAAAAGGCCATTTCAGGGTCCCAGTGCTTAAAGTGTCAAAATGTGGTTCAAAACCGGAATATGTGTACATTAAGGGGCTCCATAGGGGCCACAACAGACCCTCCACGATTAATGTCACTGCATGGCTTTTGCGGGCATTCCACTACGTCTGTTTCTACTTCAGCTGTGCCTGCCACAGTCAGCCATCTCTCTGCAGGCCTTGAATCCAAGTTCCCAAGCAAATAGCTTCCTAGTTGGATGCCACTCTTGGGTAGAGATCTCTAGTCCGGGCCCACGTAGGTGACAGGCTGGTCTATAGATTGGTTGCCCCTGTGTCAGGCATCCTTTATCCAATCATCTGTGGCCAGAGCAGTGACAGAGCACCAAGAAACGAACTCTTCCGAAAGGTTCTGTGAGTTTGGCCGTCTCTCTGGACGTGGCAGCCTAATAGACAGAAATGTGGTGGAAAGAAGTACTCTAAACAATTAACAGTAGATCTTCCTCTAGAATTATCAGTTACTTTTCTTTATCGTTTTCTGCAACTTCTAAATTGTCTACACAGGATATACTGGGGGTGCCAAAAACATGTATACACATAACTTGTATTCATCTTTTGTTATCAGTATATATTACAATTTTAATACAGTTTTTTTCTTTCTTAAAATGTGTATACATGTTTTTGGCACCCTCTGTATACTTCTGGTTTATATTTTAAAAGACTATTAAAAATCCATGGAAATTTGGTGAAATGTTAAAAAAATGGGGAAAATTTTTCCTTGAGATACAGTGAAGTTTCTCATATCACTCTATGTTAAAATTTTTTTAGATAAAGTATAGCATTAAATTCAACTCAGGGCCTGTGATCAAATGTGTTAAAAGTCAGATGCAAATATATGTGCGGTATAATGTAGGTCTAAAAATATTCGTGTGTATGTACAGAAAGCAAAAAATCACTGAAAAGAAATATACCAAAACTTTATCAGCTATTATCTCCTTGTGATGAGATTATGGCCACTTTTAATGTTCTTTGTTCTTCCCCATATTTTCAACAAAGAGCATTTTATAATTTTTGAAGTATTCATATAACCTGAAGGAGTTATTTTAGAAGTCTGCCAAAGAAAAGGGATATTTCATGAGGCTGATGGGTCATGATGAGAGTGACAATTTAAAAGATGACTAATGCTTTCCTTCATTCCTGAGTTTTTTTGTTGTAGCACTTTGGGTTTCCTTCAGTAATTTGACGATGAAAAATAACTGTCCCTTCTAAATGGTTCACCGAAGTCTGCACTAGACAATAGAGACTCTAGCATCATAGTTAGCTAGTTAGCCTTCTGTGACAACGTCACAACTGTGGGTCTCTGAGGGTTTCTTCAAGCTCTGACTTTTTAGTACAGGAAGGTAGGTTGATGGGAATAAAGTGAGAAAGAATATCTTAGCTCAGGCTCCTAGAAGAAATTGCTGTAGACTGAGTGACATAACTAATAGGCAATTATTTCGCATGGCTCTGGAGGCTAAGTCTGAGATTTAGAGACCAAATAAGAGACCAAAACATATGTGTTAACAGGTTGAATTGTGTCCCTCCCACATTCATACAGTAGAGTCCTAAGCCCCAGTACCTAAGAATGTGACCTTATTTGGAAATAGGGTCATCGGAGGTGTAATTACTTAAGATGAGGTCATGCTGGAGTAGAGTGAAGCCCAAATTTGATGTGATTGGTATCCATATAGAAAGGGGACATTTGGATACAGACACACATGCAGGGAGAGAGCTTGGGGTGACACCGAAGCCCAGGAACACCAAATATTGCCAGCAAACCACCAGAAGCTCGGGGAGATGCCTGGAATAGAATCTCCCTCTCAGCCCTCAGAAGGAACCAACCCTGCTGACCCCTTCATCTCAGACTCTGATTGTGAGACAATAAATTTCAACCACTCAGCTCACAGTACTTTGTCATGGCAAACCTAGCAAACTCATACAATACCCATGAACAAAACTCCAGCGAAATGTTTCTTGCCATTTTCTTTCTGTGTTCCCTTCAACATACCATATTTCTATCCCTAGAGACTTGGCCATAAAAATCTATTAGATTCTTGTTCTCCGCTAAAAGAAGGAACAACAACATCTTTATGCTTCCAGAGTTTGGAATAAAAGATCTAGCCCATAACACTGAAAAACATCTAAGACTGTGTTTAGTGGGAAAGACTCAGCCTAGTTCTGTTTCCAGAGAGGAGATCCCAAGTGTGGGTTAATGAGACCACTTTTCCACGGCAGGGGGTGGAGGGAAGAGTTGTTCAGACACTGGAAAAATCCAGATATTGGCAGCCTTGGTTTCAGTTCATACTTCTCTCGGAAGTGCTTTCTGGGTGAGCTCAGTGACCCTCTGTGGGAGGAAGAGACTGGAAAACAAGGTCTTCTAGAAGCATGGATGTTCTACCTGAAGGGGCTAGCATTCTGTGAGAGCTTCCAAAGGCTGCTGTCTAGCGAAAAAAAAAGACAGACCCAAGAATTCAGTCCAAGGCGGTAAGTTAGAGGGACCTACCTCTTCCATCAAGCAAGCAATTGTCGTCAGATGGTAACAAGTAGTCAACACTTCTGAGCAGAACTCCTAGTGCAGGGAACTTGCCCCATCCTGGACTACCCCTGGCTGGGAATGTTGGCGCCATCTTGCCCTTGCTATAGTTGCTCAGGTCCAGCGGGAGGCAGGTGTCCATGCTCAGCTGTAGGGAGCTTTCCAGAGCTGGGTCTGGGTTCCAGCCATGATACTTACTACCCAGGCGCCACAGCCTCTGCTTGCCATTCCAACATAACACCTACAATGTGCATGGGCCCACACCAGACATGTCACCTTGAGCATATACAACCCACTACATTTTCTCCTGGGCCAAGGACAGGCCCAGATCGCTAATTGGACTATGTTTCCAGTGATACAGCTCTGGACTCCTGAGGACACTTCATTAAGACTTGCGTCTGCCCTTGTCATCTTAGCTTCAGTCACAGTGTCACCCTGGTAGACACAGACACCCACACTTAAGTGACAGGCTTTATCTTGAATAGGCTCAGTTTATATCAGCCTTTGCTCCTGCCAGATAGGAACTTAAGTTAAATATGGAGCGTGAACAAGTAGAGGTCAACTTGAACTTGACCCTAGAAATGTTTGTTTGTTTGTTTGTTTGTTTTTGCTGAGATAGGAATCATTGCGTGGAACTATAGAGAAGAAAGAATAATCACAGCCAGCTCCCAGGCTCTGCAGTAAACAGTGATCTATTAATTTTCAACATTTTAAATCAGCCTTTAGCTAAATCATGAAAAGACATAGAACTATGAGGCCAAAACTTAATATAATTAACACTGACAGTGAAAAGTAGAGCTCTAATGACAACGGTTAGGAGGTAGAGGTAGAAAGTCAATCCGTATCATCTGTTGTTGATGAAACAAGCAATGGAGGTTTTAAATATGATACATGAAGATATAGATCTGACAGATGGAGAAACTGAAAATAGTGATAGAACTGTTTGAGGGGAGAAAAAGTAGAGGAAGTGTTATTAAGTGAGCTCAATCCTTTCGAGTCATAGCAGAAATCCATATCTATCAAAAAGATAGGTTTAAAGCCGATAAATCAGTAAATATCAGTAACATTATTTAGAAATAAGGGGATTATTGTCAGGCCATCTAAAACAGACATAATTAAAGATGGTTGGCTCTCAGAAGAGTAAAATGAGGTGATTAATGCTTTTTATTTTAAGCTCCTGTATAATATGACCTTCGTTTTAACTATGTTTATGTGGTAGGTTGATTAAAGTGATCATGAAATGACACTCATTTTTGGAGACATGAGAAAAATCACTGAAGATGAATATAGTTTGATGACATAACCATTTGAAGTTCCTCTAGGTCCAAAACAAAATTAAAAGGAACGCAGTAAGCAATTTAAAATACAGCAAAAGAGTTGACATTCACTCTATAAAGCGTTCACACAAATTGATGTCGGAAAAACGAAGATCCTCAGAAGGTAAACGAGGAAAAGATGTAAACGGTTCACAGAATAGGGGAGAGGAGCTAATTAATAAATACAGGAAATAACATGCAGACTTGCTGTGAACAAAGCTCAGCTCCTGACAGACCTCTCAGGATGAGCTACCGGTGGGAAGCAGGTGAGTCCCAGGGGAGAGCAGCCTGGTGGGAGAAGGGGCACGGGCCCAGACCCCCGAACTTCTGGCACCCCGACCACACCCCAACCTTGTCATAAAAGGGGGATGAAGTCACATTCCCAAGGTGTGGTCCAGATTGGGCCCCCTAACATGCTTTCATTGTCTCTCCCCCCTTGAAATAATAGCAGGAACAGCCGTGTGTAAATCTCACTTGATTCTAGAGTCCTAGAAATGAGAACTTGTGCCTTATTCATCTTGTTGTGTAGACCAGCACCTGCCTATCATGATGCCTTGCTCTTAGTAGGTATTCAGTTATGTTTTATGTAATGGATGTGAAGTTTATGCTAATATGTGCAGTACTTAATACGTCAGCTGCTCTATAGGTTTTGTTAGAAACATCGTTGAAAACGTCATCTCCACAGAGGCATGTTCGCATAACCCGCTGACGTCACAGGCATAGGTTGTGCGGCCACTCATAGTTTTGCATCTCACAGATATTATTCATTTTTGGATTTTCCGCAGCGTGGATTCCCAGGTTCCCGTGGAATATTCTGCACTGTTTCAGCCTTGTCCATGGCCAAAAGAATTGCCTTTTCAATCTCAAGAGTGCAGTATTTATTCATACCCAGCATCAGAAACAAGTGAAAGTAAAGAGGATAAGGCCCCAGAAGGTATGAGCCGTTTTACATGATGGTTCTCATATAAATAGTAATATTATAATTATATATATTGTCCATTGCTTTTCTGACTGTTACTGATTTTTTAAGTTAAATGAGTGTTTTAAGTCAGAATCTCTCCTCATAGGAAGGGTGGGTTATTTGTCTCCTATTGTTATAGATGAGAAACAAAGTTCAGAAGGGTCACGGATCTGCCCAAGGTCACTTAGCTACTTAGAGTGGGCTCTGCTGCTCTGCCCACGTGACCACACTACCGACATGGAAGAGACGCATGGGAGGTTTCAGATCACTTGGCCAGTCTTGCTCTGGGAGTCTGGCAGTATCCTAATGGTGTTAGGTTTGTAGGATCTGGTACAGTCCCCGCAATGCACCCCTCTTTTGCTCCTTGCTGCCCAGCACACATGTGAATGCATATCTTCAGGCACAGACAGAATGGTCATTGCATTTTTGCTTTTGGGCTTAGTGGCAGTGTTCATAAGTGACCATGAGTAAAGACCTTCACCGGCTGGAGGGAGATTGAAGGGCTAGAGGTGAACATGGGCAAAGGAGAAGGTAACCCAGTGTTGGGATGGGAGGTTGGGCTCTGTGAGCAATTGATAGAGGAATGAGTCCATTGCAGGGAATTCTCTAGAACATAGAGGCCAGGAGGGAGCCACCATTTGTGGCCTGAGGGGTGTGGGGTGTTCTGCCTGAGCCCAGAGCAGGACGTAAGGCTCCCCTGCCCCCTCACGTGACCAGGGGAACCAGAAAGAGAGTATAGACTTGTTAGGTTGCCAGGGACAAGGGGACACAGTGGATGGCGTCTGCAGAATGAAGAGGTTCCTAAAGCCAGCCCATCCTCTAGTCCATCAAAGGTGGACTCCCCTTCAGCTGTAGTTATATTCAGAATAGCTGGCCGAGATAAGGAATTTTCAAGGATTTTACTCAGCAGGGAGGGCACAAGCAAATCAGCTAATGTCTGAGCCTTGGAAATAATAATGCCTGTCCTACAATAGTAACAGTCTATTTTCTTCTATCTATTACTGTAATATGTGTATATTATAATGTGACATAATAATATAGGACCAAAGGAGATGAGCATGGTGTAAGCAAGAAATAAAGTGCTAGATACCTACTAGGTATGATGACGGTAAATCATCATACACATTGGAGAAGACTGGGGTAGTTTTCTGCAGGAATGGTCTCTGGCCACTTGTTCTGTTCCTTTGAATGGGCCATGTTTTTGTTTCTTTACATGCCTTGTGATGTTTTGTTGAAAGTGGGGCACTTGAAAAAGCAGCCACCTTTCCAAGTCTGCAGACTGGCTCCATGCCCAGGAAGACCTTGACCACTTAGCAGGGCGCGTGCTGAGTCCAGGATCAGCCCAGCGTGAAGGCTTAGGGTCTTGTCAGTCCTTTTCCGGGTTTGCACTTTCCCGGGGCCTGCGTGTGTGCTTTTTACCAATTTCTTCATGTACACAAGGTGCTTTTTAAAAATGACCTGATTTCCCTAAGAGACTTACTCCTGCTGCTTCTGGAGGCCTGGGCTGTTCTACAGTGTTCCTCAATTCTAGTAGCCTCTTGCCCCAGGTGGCTGTGCGTCTGGCGCCCCCTTCTGGTTTTCATGAGCCCTGCCCGCTGCTTCTCGTGGCTTCCGCTAGCCTGAGATGCCAGCTGTGCCCCTTTTGACCATCCGAACTCAGATCACACAGAAAGCAGTCAGGCAGCCCCCCAGACAGGTTAGAACATTGTTCTACCCGCTGGTTCACAGGAGGGAACTAGAGACCAGACCTCCGTTCCTCTAAGCGGCACCTCAACCCGCTAGCGGGAGGAGGGAGGGGGAGGCAAAAGTGAGTTAAAACAACTTGGTGTTTTCTACTGTTTTTAACGTGGCTTTTTTTTGATGGGGTGTTCACTTGGTTGCTGGAGGTCTTGGACTGATTTTCGGAGCTCCTGTAAAGTTCTTTTAGCTAGTCTCTAGTTGTGTATTTAATGTGTCTTTGGGGACCTGGATCTTTTCTAGTCTGCCATCTTGTTCAAGGCCTTCTGTGGTTTTCTGATCAATCACATCACATTGCTGGCTCTGGGTCAGTTAAACGCTTATCTCTTTTTCACGTGAACTGCAAAAAAAACAGGCTTCTATGATACAATATATGCACACTTGATTTTTATTTATTTATTTATTTTTTTTACATAAATGTAACTTGTATTTTCACCTTGCTATCATTTTGGTTTCAACCCCACA